CAGAATGCCAGACTGCGTTCGAGTGGGTCAAGTCATTGCTGGCTTCAGACCTACTCCTGATTCAGTTTGACCCGTCCCGAAAAGTAGTCCTCGCCACAGACGCACAAAGTTTAGGAATGGGTGCCGTAGTTTCCCATACGTTCCTAGATGGGGCTCAGGCGATCGCATATACCGCAAAGACGCTGAGGAAAGCCGAAAGAAACTACAGTCAGATCGAGAAAGAGGCACTGGCCATAGCGTTTGCTGTGAAGAAATTGCACAAGATGCTGTATGGTCGTCGCTTCAAGCTCTTGACGGATCACAAGCCGCTGCTGGCGATTTTCGGCTCGAAGAAGGGAATTCCTGCCTATACAGCCAATCGACTCCATCAATGGGCACTCACTTTGCTGGGCTATGATTTTGAAACCCGTTATCAGTCAACGGTTTCGATGGGCCAGGTAGACGCGTTGTCACGCCTCACTGATTCCAAGCGGCAAGCAGACGAGGACACCATCATAGCCTCAGTTGAGATCGAACCTGATGTCAAATTCCCGGTGAGCGAGAGATTACATGGTCTGTCAGTTACGGCCGATGCTGTGCGGGCCGAAACGCTTCGAGATCCAATCCTGAAGAAGGTTACACACTTCCACAGAACCAGCTGGCCACGTTCGCGTTCATCTGCCGAAATGCAGCAATTCTATCAACGAAGACATTCGCTCTCCATTGTGAGTGATTGCGTCATGTCCTCAAATAGAGTAATCAGCTCGCAGGCGTTGCAAGAAAGAGTACTGCAGCGACTCTATGCAGGACATCCAGGGCTCAACCGAAAGAAAGCGCTTGCCAGAAGTTATGTGTATTGGCAGTTTATGGACAGACAACTGAAGCACCTAGCTAGAAGATGTGGCAACTGCGCTACCGCTTCAACGGCACCGCCGAAGACTGAGTTCCACTCGTGGCCTAAACCAACTAAACTTTGGAGCCGTGTTCATGTCGACTTTGCAGGCCCAGTCAATGGCCAGAACTTTCTCATAGTGGTCAACGGTTACAGCAAGTAGCCTGAAGTGTCCCTCATGAGCAGCATGAAAACCAGGGCAACAGTCTCGAGGTTGCGACAAATCTTCAGCAGGTTCGGATGTCCTGAAACATTGGTGACGGACAATGGAGTACAGTATACTTCGGCCACATTCACGGAGTTCTGCAAACGCTGCGCCATCAAACACTTGCGGTCTTCACCATTCCACGCACAGTCGAACGGCCAAGCGGAGAGATTTGTGGATACATTCAAATGCGCTCTCCTCAAATCAAGGAGGGAACGAGACATAGATGAGGTGATCGACCGCTTACTCTTTCTGTACCGATCTACACAAGATCCACAAACGCCGGGTGGAATATCACCAGCAGAGGCAATAATGAAGAGAAAGCTTCGCATGCCATTTGGTGTAGTTCGGCCGTCTTCAGAGTCCACAACTAGTGAAAAAACTTCAAGATAAAATGTGACTTTAATCGGTGGTATGGTGCTAAACGACGTCCGTTTAAGCAGCGTCAGCAAGCCCTTGTACGTGATTACCGGGAAGGACACGCAAAATGGACGCCAGGCACGATCCAGAGCAAGCGCGGGAACGTCAGTTACGACGTGTTGGTTGGAACGCAGGTATGGGTACGCCATGTGCCCCTTGCTGAGGCTGATGTTGCATTCATGATGCTTCTTCATCGCAGTTGGGCTAAACCAACTTAAACTTAAACTAGGTCTTTTTAATGTGGATAAAATTCGTTACATTTTATTTGGCTTGTTCTGCGTACTTGAGAGTCTTCTCCTTACTTGCACACGTCGCTCACGCAAATTGTGGTAAACTTGCGTAATTTTATCGCGTGGTATTTTTTAACTAACTTTCGGACATTTTGTACTTATCACGGATTCACTTATAACCAATTTCTTCTATATGCTCATATAGCGAGTATTTATATCGTCATATGCGTTTACTTTAATCGATATCGACATTTCGAATGATTGGCTGTTGTTTGACATCTCAGGTGTGGCTGCGCTCGATGTGCATGTTGACAAGGTGCCTACCTGTCTATTACCCACTATCTCGTCCATACTGGCTCCAGGAGACAGTTGGTCGTTGCTCGAGGGGACGGGGTGCACGGTCCTTGTGGTCGTGCTAGGCTCGAAGAGTGGTTCCATGCACACAGTGTGGAGCGGACTACGGTCCAGCCACCGCCTTGTGTGTACATGATTCCCCAAATACAGCGTGCTTGTGTTTGTCTGTGAAGGAGTGTGGGCCGGCTCCGTTGATGAAACGTGGCTCCCATCCGCATGCCTCCCGGTCTTATTCCTTCGGGTTTACACTGGATATGGGGTGTGTGGATGGAGCTGTGGGTGGTGCAGCGCAAGCCATTCATGGTCCCTCTGTAGGCGCAGGTGTCCTGTGGCTGGCCACAGTGACAGGCAAATCCGAAACCGGATGCCGCCAACCATGGGTACGCCATGCAAACCAACTGCGACCAACACTGTGTCGGACACAAGCAACAGAATCTGCTGAGCTTCCATTTGACCTGTTGACAAAGAGCTTTAACTTGCCTCAAGAGTCCGTAGAAGACTGTCGTCAGACGAATAATACCAGACCGCAGAGCACGAAACTTGAATCCAGAACACTACGGCCAAGGCGATGGACCGATAGGCGTAGATTCCCTTCCACGAGGCTTCAGGTCAATCCCAGGCTAACATCATACACCGCGGCAGCCGCTTTAGGACGGGATGTATCCGGGAAAGGTAAACACATAAAGGAACACACTCTATTTTAGCAATTAATCGATTATCTTCGGTCGTGCATTTATTTCGAAGATTCCGGAACCTTCTATTCACTCACGTGATTGCCAGCGCATGGAGTTTTGGCAGGTAGGCTGCTGATTTTACAAGTTAACCTTCGTTTTATAGAAGCCGAAGGTCATTGAGCCCACTAGATATTTGGCGTAAGATTGGCGCAGTTGTGCAGTGTTTTGGCAGCGTTTTCGGCTACGTTTGATGGCGTTTTTGTTAACAGCTTTTTCGCGGTCAAGGTCATTGGACTTTCGAATTTTCTTCGGCTGACCTAGGATTTTTGTGGAAATTTTTTAGGTGTTTAATTCGGAACAGCGAGAAAACGTGAAGATTTAACATGTGGAGCGAGGAGATAACTACAGATAGTGTAACGGCGGTTGCACTGCGACTGCTCACAATTAAGCTGGTAATTACAAAAGGAAAGATTGTAATTTGGATTGGGAGAAGAGAAACAGATGAAAAGGAAAGAAGAGAGACGCCAGCAGTAGCATGTTTTCGCTTATCCACCTGCTGTATGCAGCAGATAAGCGATGCATGATAAACTGCGCGACGGCCGATGAAAAACGCGGTTGACGTTTGAAGAAATGGTCGTGGTTGTATGTGGGCTGAGATGTTGCCATAGTGCCCAGATCTAGACAGGAGAACGATTAGGATCTTCAAAAGCCTATCCACAAGGCCATGGAGGTAGCAATGATTCGGCTTTACAGAAATGGACGCCGTCCCATTTCGACCCCCCAGGCTGAAGGACGAAGAGACTGTTTGTCTGACTAATTATTGATCAACGTGGTAGGAGTAGCTATCAAGGGATCCGGGCACACAACCCAGTATAGCTTAACGACGAACCAGGTTAAGGTCCAGTCACGTTGCTAGGGATCGAGGCATTGTATGTATGTATTCTCAACAGTCTATCAACTAGACACAGAGCCAACTCCGGATCGAGGGCTCCAGAGAGGCAGTTTTCCCTTGCCAAAACATGGACTTGCCGATGGAGCAGGAGCGACACACTTTTACTGAGCTTTAGTTGAAAGTAGGAGACAAACCCCTGTCATAAGAGGATGGAGTATCGAGAATTCCTCGCCAGAAAGAGGAAGGATAAAAGCGAAGTTGAAACGGGATGTTCCGAGCAGTAGCACTCACATCTCTGTCTACCCTGCTCGACGTAGCAGATAGGGCGCTGTTAGTTATGCTCTGCCACCGCCAGGTTCAAGTTCAAATTAATCCAGCATAAGCTCAGTGTGACAAAATGGGTGCATTTTCAGCATTTTACACTATCAACTGTAAATTTACCAGGCGGGCACCATTAAAAGTGCTAGTTTACAAATGGGTAGAAAAATGAGAAGGGTGCAGTCATAACTAGAACAAGCAAGGATCACATAGCGCTTTACTATATTTTCGGGATTTGCGTTCATTCAAAAGAGCGAAGTTACATTAAAAAGGTTTCTTCATAACCCGTGACATTTGACGCAAAATTTTGTGTCCAAAGTTGATAGATTGGGGATGAAGCGCGATATCTTAGCGTTTATATTCAAAAGGTGGATTGAGCACATTGGTCTCAGTGATTTTGGATGTTGAGTTAAGAAAATATCTTCAAGCATAATTCTTGTAAAAATGATATATCTACAGCAGGTAATGTGAAAAATGATGATCGGCGTAAAAGGCAACAGCCGAATTAAAGGCCCGCTACACACTTGTGTGTAGCGAGCAAGACAGTCAATTTGCTCTGGCCCAAACGGAAGAATCGCTAGGGTTATCAACTAAGTCCATTGGTTTTAAAAGCTGACCGCAAAGCATCAGGCGAGGTGTCCGTTAGAAGAAAAGAGAGCCAACCTTATTGTAGTCTCCAGCCTGGAAAATCAGGAGACTAAGTTCACCAGGCCTCCAAACACTGACCAGTCTGGCATGAATGACCCTGCATGAGTAGAATGCCCCACCCACCACCTCCCAGTGGAAGGCCGAGGTGCGCAAACAAGTGCACCATGTTAACTGCGATAAAATTTAAGAAATCGGATAAAAACGATCGGTAAACAAACATTAGTCAGATTAAGTCGTTATCCTGGAGGAAGTCGAGAGCAGTCATATTACTGGATGACACGGTTAACACAAAAAGCCAAATAGAAAGTGGGTTATGTGGTGCATAAATCGGACGGGGAATAATGGCTAAAACAATGAGAAATGTAAATGTTGAAAAAGAGCAACTTACGTTGATAATTGTAAAGCCCAACGCCTTCGACATCCAAAAACGCACCGGAGTGACTTTCCATTGCAGTATAAAGTTCGGACAACATTGCGTCAAAGCGTGATACCTCAGAGGCGTCTTCAGTGTTTGCAATTAATATTTGTACACCTTTTGCCCAAAGACTGAACGAGCTTGTCGCGACGCCTTGGCCATTTCGACCGAGTAGGCATAAGGCGGATTTGAAGCAATCAAAGCTTAAAAGGTCACTACAACCAGCCTTTTGAAGAAGTGAATAGCATTGATCCTCAGAGGAATGAGACTCAATTTGTCTCGTGAGGTGAAAAAGAACATTCACAAAGGCGTCGTGCAACTTTTGTAAGGATGGTACATATTCTGGACGAAGAAGTTTGTGCGAGATGACTGAATGGGCATGATCACTGTGATTGTCTGGTTCAGTTGTAGACGATACAAAGGTCTGAAGTGCGGCAACAACTTTTTGAGATGGTGTAGAACCATGGAGATAGGCACACAAGCAGGCACCAACTATACGTACCAAAAGGAAAATGCTACTGGACTCTGGAGGGTAATGAAGCTGTCGCCAGGTTTCGTCGAGCTGGAGAATAGGATGGCTGCTGGAAGGACAAACGTCTTTCGGACAAATAACGGAGTGGTAAGTGATAGCTGCCTCTTCCAGACAGGTTAAAGTGCAGTAGGTGACGTTGCAGCCGGGGCAACTTAATGGATTTATCACGTCAGTGAGAGATTCGCAATTGGGATGAGGTAACACAATATGTGGGTTTCCAGTGAGTCTCCTAACGTTTAACTCAGCAGACTCAAGAGGACAAAGGCAATGATCACAAGCCAAATATCCGTATAGCCGATTCCACGAAAATTGGCAGCAAATTAACGGACTTTCAGTGAAGATCGTTTCACCTGATTTAATTGTTCGAGTGGCGACAATGCCTTTCCCACGAGGAGCCCCGAAGTCGACAACCTTTGTGTACTCCGTTCCCATATCCACGAAAGGATTGAAGGTACAAATGACAGGAACATAACAGCATACAGGATAAAAAAATCGATAAATGTCATGAGGAACCTAACATTACACTTGTGCGTGAACTCGGGTAACAATTAATCTATGTAGTGAATCCACACTATATATGGGATATGTGAGCTGAAAAGGAACTAGGTGTGCGGTGTTTAAACTAGGTTAACTATTCGACAACTGCATATATTGTACATGAAATCTACCACGGGCTCTGAGCCCAAGATCATTATACGCGAGTTGAAACAAAGCCTGGTAGATCAGCAGGACCTAAGAAATGAAGGCGGGAGCAGTTCGCGATTGTCGCAAATTTCTGACTTATCCGCACCGCTGACCCCGGAAATCAAGCGGCAGCGAGACAACCAAACAATACAGATGTCCGGTTGGTAGGGCAAACCACTTTAGAGATGAAGGGCAGTTGATTCTGTGCTTCTACGTCAATTTCTGCTCAGGTGGTGAAGGCTGATGCATAGCCTGTTATTTGATGTACGTTTTAATTTTATAATCTGTAATGTTTAGTATTTCACCATCAACAACAGTACATCTGCCATTTGAACTGATGCTTCTCTGCTGCACAACCACTGCTATCCACGGAACGAAGGATAATAAGAGGGAGTGAAGGGGGAACTAGCATAAAACATTATTGTCCTAAGCAAATATTCAGGGTTACGGCACTCACAGCTTGTCAACAATATATCACCACAAACGTATGGCTACATGCAAAGATAAGGCAGCATCGGCAAGTCAGCTTCCTTGCTGCTTTCACTACCGCGTCATAACCAACCAGTGCTCGTAAACAATTTAGCAGAAATGCATCAGCAGTACACCGGTACGCAGTACCAACACTTCGCTGCCGCGTAACCACCACCAGTCGCACGGGGGTTAAGAATACTGCGAGGGTCGCCCGGTCTCCTGCACAGGTTCGAAACCGCGCCCTCAGATGACAAGGTAGGCTTGTGATCCTTAAGGCTACGGGCCAGTATGACAACTGTGGGCCGCCAAAATATGTGACAGTGCCCCAGTAGTGATCAAGAGCAGACAGCCACTGGATGTTCTTCGCACAAACAGACCAAGCCTCGCAACCGTGCAAAAAGAATGCTTTTACCGCGGCAATGTAGACTCGGCTCATTAAAGAGACTCGGGTCGCATCGAAGCGAGATTTAAAGGAGAGCAGCGAAAGCAACCAGGGCCTTATAGACGCCCAAAGAGTCACCATCCGTTAAGTCTTTAGAGTTGATGCAGCTTCCGAGGTAAACGAACTTGGAGACCACTTCCACAGAATGATTTGAAAGGGCAAGATCAGGAGAAGCTCCTAGCGGTGGAGCGCGATACCGCATTTTCGGCAGCCGGCACCTCGCCCGAAGGCAGCAGAACCAGAGAGCAGAGAGAGCAAGCGGAGAGTCGTTGAAACATTGAGGTAAAGATCATTCCAAACTTAGAGTCAGACACCTGCAGCCTAAACAGCACATTTTGGGCGGCTTGTGACGAATCGAAAATTACGCCAATGTCGCCTATATACTCTTAACGGCGAAACTGGTCCACCGGAAGCAGCTCAACGCCGCTGGATTCGCAGTTCTTTAGAACGCTTTCCAGGATGTCGTTCATGGCGAAAGTAGACGGGAAGGACGATGCTGGGCAGCCTTGTCTCACGCCACCGGTGACAATAAAGGGAGTGAAAGTACGCCATACACTCGCACTCGGTCCGAGGTTCGAGAATAGATGGTTCGAAGAAGACTGACAACATTATCTGGCTATTGGCTTTTTAAGACAATTCCAGAGAGCAATCCGGTCAAATGGATCAAGCGCGGTTCGTATGTCTAAGAAGATAACGACCATTGTTCGGTCGAACGTTCGACGACGCTCGAGTACTTGACGGAGCGTAAAGATGTGATCGATACAACTCCGGTCGAAACGGAAGCCAGCTTGCTTTTCGTGTACCAGACTGAAACTCCTTGGAAGCAGAGCGATAAGCCATTTGGATGCAAAGCAGATGAGACTAATCCCTCTGTGGTTAGCGCGAGTTAAGCAGGCATATTTTTGGAAGACGAGCACGATATCCGCTAGGCTCCAACCAAACGGGATTGCTTCAGTGAGCCAAACCTCTTGGACGAGGGAAGTTAACTCCCAAACAAGGAATAAACCCCCATCTGTGAAAAGGGCCGGAGGGTTTATCTGGGTTAGGGTCCTTGTAGCGCTTAAAGAGGTGAAGCCCACAAGCAACTGCGGCCTCAGATGGTGGTGAAGTACCTACAAATCAAGCAGCACTTTGGATTCCCGATCGAGTAGTCGCCGACGCTGCTGGCCAGTTAAACTGCTGTCCAAAACGCTCGGCCCAACACACAAGTGATGTTGCTGACGGCGGGTTGGCTCGCCACTAGTTTCATAGAAAACTTTTTTACAGTCAACATCTCGCCGCCAGTAGATCGGATCAGGAGGAAAAGCATGCGAAAATTCCTCGATGCGATCAGTTACTCCATCTCAATGACCCGCTGGGTCCATCAGGCTTTGCGATCCACCCAGAGGAGCGGTAGAGTTCAGCGTTGGTAGTCGTGCGCAGTGAATGACACCCAACGCCGCAGCGATTGCTCGATGAACTTCCACAAGTTAGGAAGATCGTGCGGAGAGCCGATGGCTAACAGGACTACTGGTGAAACCATTGACTAGGGTAGCAGAGTTGCGCATGACACTGCGGATGTGTATCCAGTGCGTTCCAACGTTTGAGCATGAGGTGCCGTGGAGGTTTGGAGCCAACGCGTCCTGTAAGGCGCTGAGAAAGCTTTGGGAAGAAAGCGTAGCAATGTCAGACAGTTTCTAGTGACGCTATTGGTAATTACTGAATTGTAGAGCAACTTTGGCACACAGGAGTGAATGAGCCGAAATGAGGTAAGTACCACAGATCGATTTGCAACCACGCCAGCGAGAACTGAAAGCGATGTGGCCAATGTGTGTCTACCGCCTGCCAAGCGATGGGAGCCTCCAATTAGTGCATTGGCGCTAGGATTGCCGAAAGCTGGTACACGGCAGAAAGAGGCCATGATCTGCGCAAATCTGAAGTAGGCGACCACTGTTGTTGGTTCTGCGAGTACCATGGCTTTGTTGGCCACCGAGTTCAGTCTCGTCAAACTCAAGTCTGCCAATTTGCGCGTTTAAGCCACCCGTAAACATCGCAATGTCCGCATGGTTCTGTTACGGAGAACGTCGGAGAGTTGATAGAACGTCTTTAACTGACTCTCGGCCGCAGTCTGTGGGAGCGTACACTGCTAGGACGAACAAGTAATGTCTACTGACTTCACGGCTGGATAGTTGCATTGAGGTTGCAAGTCGGATCGCGCAGGGACGATCGTAACAGGGATCCAGTATAGTAGCGCAGCCTAGGCACGTGCGCTCAACGCACTCCCCATGCTGGCGAGAACAGCGGCTTCGGTGGCTGCGTCTCCAAATAAGCGCAGTGTAAAAATGTCAACGGAACTCGTCGACGGTGAAACCAGGCGTAACGTCATGCTTACGTCTGGAAATCAGGTTTCAGTGAGAGCGCAGACATCAATGGTAATAGTCTCAAAGGTGCGAGCAAGAGTCGCTCGTGATCCAAATTTGCATCAACGTCCGAACGTTGAAGATTGTTATCTTAAATAGAGAACGGGGCGCTGGAAAAGACTTGTCAATACTACTTGCGGCGCACTCACGAACAGGTGTTCCTGATTCGTATGGTCAGAACACTCGCCAAAGGCGGAACAGTGTTGTAGCCTCGGAAAAGGAGGGGGATTACCTAGAATCGAGAAGCTGACCAAACGTGGAACAAAATAAATGAACGATGATGCCATGGAGCGCGATATAGCATGTTCGGCTGTCAGCACCTCAGCCGATGACTACATTTCTAGGAAGCAGAAAGAGCGAGCACAGAGTCGTTGAATAATTGATTTATGAGTCGAACGAGCATGGGACTTGCCGACTGCGAAGGCAGAAGAAGAGGGTTGACTTAGAGGACCCTACCCGGAGCATTGGGTCACAAAAGACCTAACCCACAAGGCAGTGGGGCAATTGATGTAGACCGCGAACCGTTGAGAGCCGGCTATATAGATGAGGATGACACGGCTTTCAAATAAATACAAACTACTCACGGCGCCCAAAGAGCCCGAATGAAGCAGCACGGAAGCCGAGAAAGTACCTGAGCCATCAAACTCTCCGGTCAGCAAGAAGGCTGTTGACAGCCAGGTGCCTAATACGTCTCCGTAGAAGTCGGTGACCGTCGTGGTTGTTCATTCGCCCTCCGTTGGATACTTCTGGTAGCAGGAGTGATCTGTGACCGTATAACAGGTCACATTTGCTTTGACACAGCGCCGTAAACTCATATGATATTTAATGCGGAACCAGATGACGAAACCAGAAGTTCCTACGCTTTAGGGCTCTACCGTTGATTATCCGTGACTACCTATTCATCTCGTCTACAAGGAGCTAAGACTTATTCACAGTTACCTTCACAAGGAAGATGTTCCCCGATCCGCAAGTTGGAGACGCGCCTCTTGGCGTACAGCTTTGTTAAACCAACCAGTGGTCTGTTCATTTCCGGGTCACCCTGGTCAACTAAATGCTGCCCACGTTTCTTGCACAAGCAGTCCCTGCTGTGCTAGTTACGTGAAGTAAGCAAGATATAGGAAGAAGAAGGTAAAAAAGGCTCATTTGAATGAAGAATGATAGCAATGAGTGAAAAAAGCAGAAAATAAAACCAAAGTATGAAGATGGATATGGTCCGGAGAACAGAAGGGTTTCGTGCTGTCATCCAAGAGTGTCCAACTGAGGCTCAAAACACTTGACCATGGGTTTTCCTACCACAGTTTCTGGAAATGAGTTCCGGCGCTCGATAAAACAATCAAGTTTCCATTATAATACAATCAGAGCGTGGCTTGCGCAGTTACATGGGATAACGGAGGAGACCAGACAACTTGGTCAGACTAAACAGCCAAAACAAGGCCGATCCAACTTTCACAGTTAAAATATGCTATGGGTCGAAGCCAAAAACTAAACCAATCTCAGAGCCCATCTAGGGTATGATAAATGGCCTCGGGACCCCCGGAGACAGCTAACATATTCCACAGTTTCAGAACATCAGCAAATGATAGTTATGATACCTCAGGCTCCCCAGGGGGATCGTTTAGATGGATAGAGAATAGTAGCGGTCCAAAGGCCGAGCCTTACAGCACGTGGCTAGGAACAGTTTACTTAAAGCACAGGCTGCGACACAAGCGTACACACTGCCCTCTTCTCTCCAAGAATGCAGACACAGTGAAGGGTGCGACCAGTCAAACGGAGAGCTCAGCTTTTGCAATAGCATTAAGCGGAGCGCCTTAACAAATGCTTACGAAAAACCTAAGAATAGCACGACCAGTTCATGACCATTGTCGACTGCATCAGCCCGACGGTTACGAGCAAGTAATAAATTTGTCAGACACGGAAATTCATTCCGAAATCCGTGTTGTACATTGCTGAGTAGATTGAATTCATTCAGATGAAACTCCAACAAATCTCTGGAAAGCTTCCCAAGCAATTCGAATACGACACTCGTCAAACTGGCCGTAATTGACAATTAGACTCCTGTCGCTGTTTTTGAAGTTGGGACAGATGATAGCGTCTATTCATTCAGCCATTACGTGACGCTTGAAACACGGTCCACTTATTTCCGCCGCCAAGTAATGTAGCGGCTTCAAAGGAAGTAAACCGGGCCCGAATGCTCTAAAAGGATCCAGTCATTGCATTGGAATAAAGACTTATGTTTTCCAAACACTAAATGTAGTTAGACAAAGATACTCTGGGACTATGAAAACCAAATTAACGCCGGTCGATGTAGTCTCATGTAGAAGGGCTCCTGCATAGTGCCAATGAAGTAAAATCGCTTTGTAGTAATCCAAAGACGCATGAATTCCATCTACCCGCATCAACGCTGGAATTAAGGAGTTCGAAACGCTGTGTTTTTTGATACAAGCAAAGAAGTTCGAAATCTCCGAGGCTCCAACAGCCCAATCCTTTTAGAACTGCAAGAAACCGAA